GATTGACCACGAACATCTGAGGGGAATCAACTAGAAGGATTTTTTGAACTTTAATGTCAATAAATGAAAGCTGAAGTACACTGGTGACTTGGAAAAAAGTGTCACCAAGACATAAAATACTTTTTTCAAGAACATAAAAAAATCTTAATTATTCCAAACGTTTGGCCTACAGTGTATATCTGAGGCATATTATATATAAAAAAACAAAAACAAGAGCTTAACTATTAAAAAAGATGGATAAAATACTGTTTCACAACTGTATAAAACACTTCACAGTATTACACTACAGACAACGGGATGTTTCTAAGCAATTTATATAACCTTCCACATTCCAGCGTAAATGTACACAACCACTTTCACTGCCGACAGCACTGACATACAACACACAACTCTCGCCATACTTCATACATTACACCTGAAGGTATTATGAGAGCATGTCAAAACATGTCAGCGATGGTAAATGAAGATGTTGCAAGCATAACTTATATACAAAACAGCTGTAGCTATTTGGATTGAGTTGAATTTGTGACATAATGCTGTTGTACATTCAATGTAGAAAAGATATTATGGTAATACTACCATGATTTGCATGATTTCTACAATTAGTATGTATCTTACAATGAAGTATAAAAGCAAAACAAAAATGTTTCATAAAAATAACTATATCTGTCCTTTTAAGGCAAGGCATGCGCTTCTTTTTCTTTGAGAGCAGCACTCGCTCTTGGGATACTTCTGGTTATTGATCTTAATACTTCATTTTGACAGCTTCATGTACTGACCCTGCCATCTATTGACTGAAAGTTCTTGGTAAACGTCAGGGGGAAAAGTGTTTGGCAGAAGGTGCGTTTAGTTTGTTAAGATGGAATCGACTGGAGGCTTTATGGTAATGACAAATGATGACATCCAATAATAAATCCATTCACTGTTATGCCCCTGTTCAAAATTCAATCCAATTTAATTTCTTAAACCTTCTAAACAGTCCACTTTTGGGGGTTAAAGATTGACACATTCATCAATAAACATAATACAATTTTTAAATTGAAATCTATTTCCATAACATTTAAAGAGACTTCATTTTAACACACGTGTACAGCATAGCTTTTCATTAAACAGGAAGTTTCAGAAATGTTCAGTCCAAACTGCCACAATGGCAAATTCCCCATGAAGGGCTGAATATTTTAGATCAGATGTGTGTATAACATGATTAATGGTTCTGCTATTGTCACACTTGCAGTACATGGTTAAAAGTTCTCTCTTCAGCAGATAAATAATGCGTTTCCTCTCGTTCTCTGAGCTTGGACAGCCTTGTATCCATCACCATCAGAAAGTCCATATTTTGTTACTGTCTTGAAGAAGAGGTGGTTAATAGGGAATGTCTGGATTATGGCAGCAGCTGCCTGCCTTGTGTATCTCATCTCATCTCAGACACTGTATGATCTCTTATAGTAATGCTGTTTTTGCACTTCATAAATATGCGTGCTCGATATATTATATTTATTTACTAAACAGAACATCTTGACTCAATATGTTATTGTGTAATGCTCGATGCACCAGTCTCGGTACTTTATGATAGCACTTCCCTTGAAAACCGTAAAATATGAAGCATTAATAAAAATATTTGTTGTGCAATCATAATGGGCAAAAGATGATAATATTGTATCTGTGGAAGTGTGGCATATGGGCTTACCACAGGATCAGAGCACTAACGGTATTAAAGCTTTCCTTGATTTAGGATAGTCTTCAAATTTTGTGAGAAACCACCTGTAAAAATGAAATGACACATTACAAAACAATCCCTGATACTGATGTCATCATACAACAAAAAATGTGTACGGGGTGAATCTGTCTAGAACATGTCCAAATCACATTTCACTCAAAAAAAATAATAAAAAAAGAGAGAAATAATTCAAAAGAAAATAGTAATACTTTCTTTTAATTAAATAAAACGTGGTTAAATATTTATATAGTTGTTGAAATCAGTGTTATTTTAGTTTCTCCGAGATATTACAGTATATATTAATATTTTGCATTCGTTTTTATTTTGACTTTAGTCAATGTTTCAGTAATCTTGTTGTGTTTTTGTCATTTTGGTTCTTGCTTTTTGTCTATATAATTTTTTTTTTTAAATCATTAAAAAAACTGAAATATTTGTGGGGAAAATGTAAATGTCACAATTCAAATAGTCCTAATAGGCTTCATATTTGTTTTCACTTATTTATTATGTTATAATTATTATTTCATGTGATTCTTGAATTAATTATGACTCAGACATGAGAATTGAAAGCATACAAAAGTTTTTTTTTTGATAATTGCAATCACCGTGGGCAAGAATGCATGGTTTCATTTGGTAATGTCTTACTTGTGGTGGGCCATTCCTCTGCTGGACAGCACAATGAGAGTGAAGAGGGCAAAAGCTGCACTATGGACCGAGTGACCAGCCAGAGCAAATCCAGTCCACTCCACAATCTCCCCAAAGAAGTTTGCTCCTGATACATACTCAAACATGCCCCCTACAAACAGAAAATAGTTATGTAGAGACATTTTATCAGAAGACATCACACAAACGATCGGTTTTCTAAACAATAAAAAACTATTTCAATCCTGTTTCAAAGCAGAGAAATCGCATCACATGAGTCTTATTAAGTGTGAAACCATCTGACCAGCACGTTGTCTTTTTTTATATGTCAGGAAAAAGCATGTCTGATTCATCACGTCAGTCATCACTTATACATCAAATAAAAGAAGAACGAGCCTTTGGATTTAAACAACTTTGACATATTGGATTCATTTTAAATCCATTTGTTTTGGCTAAACAATGCAAGCAGACTTGATTAATTTTTGTTGAAGGCTTACCGACTCACATATATTATGCATATTGTGATTTTTTATTTAATTTCATTTATTTTGTGATTTTTTTGATAATACCCTGTAGAGTTGTGATGGCAACTTTGAAACACTTGTCCTTAAAAAATAAAGAAAAAAAAGTAAGTGAAGTAAAAGATGATTGCATTTGCATCCTGCATGGACACTGACTGTATGGGAAAAGAGATAGAATGAATGTCACAAACTATTAGGATCTCTGGAGCAGGGTGGTCCAGACAAGTTGCAAAGGCAATGAGTCACGAACAAAAAGGGCATCTATTTTTATTTTCTTTCAGAGGCAAAGGCAGACTCAAAGGGAAACAGATTTTTTTTGCATTGCATTAACACTCAAACCTGCACTGAAGAGGACACCTTAGCACTGACCACCCATCTGAGCGGTGTGTGGTTCAAATTATTTGTGTTCTGTTCTGAATACTCTTGAATATGTATGTATATTGGCACCAAATTTTATGATCATTTTTGAGTTTAGAATATTCATATATCGTGGTAAAATCAAAAGCCTGTTTGTAAAATGTAAAACTGCATGATGCTGTTACTCAGATTTTGTGATTGTTTTATGTGAAACATGGTAAAGACGCTGTGCACTAACATTTTAGTCCATTTCAGTGCACGATTTTATGCCACATTTCCCACTCTAACACATTTCCCTTTGTTTCAGGGATCCCTTTGAATCTGATTTAAATCATAAATGGTGCTGTCAGTCTGATAATCGCAGTCTTACTTCTAGGTATCTCATAGCCTGTCTCTACAGGCTTACGGAGGTTCCTGAGAATATAGTCAGAGTGAATATTAACGATGCATCCCAGGAACCACATACAAGACCCTGAAAAAAAAAAAAAATTTACAATATGAACAAAAAGATCATATGCTCACCAAAAAAAAAAGAAGTCATATTGTAAAATATTATTAGCATTTTTTACAATTTAAAATAACTCTATTTGAGTATATTTTAAAATGTAATTTATTCCTGTGATGCAAAGCTGAACTTTCAGCATCATTACTCCAGTCTTCAGTGTCACATGATCCTTCAGAAATCATAATAATATGCTGATTTGCTGCTCAAAAACATTTCTTATTATTATCAGCATTGAAAACAGTTGTGCTGCTTCATATTTTTTGAAAGCCATGATACATTTTTTTTAAGGATTTTTTGATTAATACAAACTTCAAAAGAACAGCATTTATTTGAAATACAAATCTTTTGTAACATCATAAATGTTTTAACTGTCGTAATGTGTCCTTGCTGAATTCAAGTATTTATTTATTTAAAAATAAAACATAGTATACAATGTATACTGTAACAAAATGATTGCTACAAAAGGCCTCTAGGGAATACATCAGGAATTCTGGGAATGGGCAGCGAATGTTCGGTCAACCATGACAGGTCAGCCAGAGAGATTACCAATATCTATACCCTGCAGTGGTCAATGCTACAGTAACCAGTCAGGTGACCTACTGTAAGGTCTAGAGAAATGATCTGGAATGTGAGAATAACAAGAACCCTGACAAGTAACTCTTCATGTCTCTTCCTTGACCAGTAGAGTGAACGCATTGTGTTCTGTCATGTGCTGATGGTGCCCTGGTGGTGAGGGATGAATTCCAGCATCAGCTCTTAAAAAAAAAAAATAGAAACAAACACTCATCTTGTATAAAAGAGGGTAAGCAACATGATAGAAATGATACTTATACTGTCTTTACTCACTAGCACCTACCTGTGATGAAACAGGGATGTGTAACCCAACCAGGTGGGTAATCTGCATAGTGACTCAGGTATCTAGCCTGCAGGTACCCATTATAAAGGCCAGAACAAACCAGATGAATGGTGTGGATTTCCCTCCTCGAATTAAAAATGGGTAGACGAGGGACCTAAGAGAAATACATGCTGCAGTTCATGTAAAAACAATAATATATATATATATATATAAAATAATAATATAAATAATATTATATATATAAAATAATAATATATATATATATTATAGTACGATAAAGAATCCAAAAGTTACACTTCTTGCTCCTCCGAGGAGAATAATGTCTTCAGAATAGCGTCCATAATTGCTAATGCCACTTAAGTAGAAGAAAGGTTCAGGTAATGTTTAGTAAAGCGTGCACAAAACAAACTGGCGCCGCGGAGAAACCTGGAAGACCCGCCCATCACAACATGGCTTTCGCCAATCAAGAAAGACGGTGGGCGGGGCATGCACAAAACACGCCTTAATATATGCAAGTTTTTAAAAGCTAGTGCTGCTTAAGCGGCTCCTACTAGTAACTACAAAAGAGATGTGTATTTGATTGTTTATTGATCTTTTACTGTTGCTTTCCAAATTTGATATTTTTTCAAAAACTTAGTCAAATGCAGAATGAAGTATTGACATGCAGAACAACGTCCACGGTGAAAACGCATATTTTGATTTGCGTTATTTTTATAGTTGTACCATGGTAAGTCGTGTTTTATTCTTCTGACTGTGAATTAATTAGGATGAAAGGTTTAAAGGTAGAAAAAGAAAAGCTTCTGCATATAAGTCAGGCAATAATGCGGGCACCGAGGAAGGGGTCTTTCAGTCGAATGTGCGCTTGTTTAGATTGTGCTGAGTACAGAAGGAGCTGAGAAGTCAAAACGCGTCGCAGGTTTATAGCCAGAGTTATATGCGTGTCCAACATGGGCAGGAAGAACAGAACCAGACAAAGAGCTCAGCAGGACAGAGATGGGAGACCAGAGGGGAAAA